ATTTGTTCCAGACTTATACATAAAAAGAAATGGTTTAGGTATACCGACACGGAAAACATATCAAGTGTCGCTGGGATTTATGTTATTGGAGAAAAAAGACCTAAAGAAAGAGCCATTAGATACCTCTATCTTGGTCAGACAATGAATGTCCGTGAAAGGATCATGGAGCACAAAGACGGTGATCAATATATTGATTCATTCGTGAAGAATAGTTTCCGAAAATATAAAGGAAGGAATCTGAGAGTGAAGTGGATCCGAGATGCTGACCACAAAAAAAAAGAGAAGCAAAACATACTTTGCGTGGAGGAGCTGCTGGGATATAAACTTGAATATAACCTCCGCTATGGTTAACATGCAATGGTCGGTAACGGGAAATTGCTCTAACAGCTCTAGTTTAGTTTTGGAGTAAATGACCGAAGTTCGATCATTAGATGTTCGATTAGGTATACTGTGTGTATTTTAACTCGTAATTATTCACCTGAAAGTCTTTTCGTGCCCTTAAACGTGGTGTTGGTGTTATAAATAAATTGATAACTGTATTTTTCTTAATTTAAACTTGACCGGAGCGAAACGATCAGACATGTAATTTTACAAATAAACAGAACATATAGTTTTCCCGCGTGAACTAAACCGACATTACAGACTTCTCTTAATCTATAATCGGTCCATTTGCTCGTGTCCCAAACACACTAGATGCCAGATCATTTTCCTTATTCTATGGTCCCGATGAGTTCGATCAACCAGTTTTTATGGTAACATTTGGATTCAATTCAAAGTTAGACAGTGTTCTTAATCAAGAAGCAAACAACTCAAAGGGTTTTAAAAGTGTCTAACTCTTCTTTTTCCGACACAACCGGTGAGAACCGCTCTTCTCTTGTATCGGTTGTAGAGTTTCAAAGTTGAAAATTGGAGAGTACCGCTGAGTAGGATCAACTTAGGCATATTTGGTCACGTAACATGCACTCGTTTAGATGAGTGATATGCGTGCGAAAATTTTCGATTAAGTTTTAGAGATTATTCCATGGAAAGCGCGCACGAACGATTTTTATTGACACCGCGGAGTTGCAGTGCATTAAAAAACGAACGAGTGAGCGCTGCAAACGAGTAAACATTTTGACGAAGGAATTTCATCACGATCGATTTACTTTTATTTGCCACAAAAAGCACTA